CMWTWWTACCTTTTCCCAACATTGGGGATTGAACCCAGGGGTGCTCTACCATTGAGCTACATCCCAGCTCTTATTTATTTTGAGACAGGGTCTCAGTAAGTTGCTAAGGCTGGCTTCAAACTTACAATCCTCTTGCCTCTACTTGTGGGAATATGGGCATGTGCCATCACGTCTGCTCTTTTTCAAAAACTGGATAATTTGTAAATAAAAGCCAGCTGTGGAGGGGGGTTTCTAGGTTAAAAATTCATTTAARTCATTTGCATAGCGTCCTGTGTATGTCTTGCAAAAAATAATAATGAGCATTTAGTTGATTAGTTGGGAAATGCTTTTGGAGAAGAATATGGCTACCTTTCCCCTTAATTATTTTCCTTTTATTTTGGTTTCCTTCTCTTAAGCTCTCCTGCCATCATCCTACAATGGAAAGGGCACTATCAACTGTTCCATGAAGTGAAGACTTCTATCTTCACAAATAAATGAAGGTCATTAGAAGTTATACCCCCTTACTAAAGACAGATTGGGTTGACCTGTTAAAATTTAAGAGGAACTCAATCTCTCCTAATCTGATTTTCTCTTATTCTTCACTTGTAAGAAACATGAGCTAGGAAGCACACCAATTGTCCTTAGGATAATCCTAAACCAGTAGATGCCAATTTTCTCAACTACTGACCTTTCCTGAGTTGTTAATAAAAAAAAAAAATGCAGCAGTGTTATTTGACATTTATCTTCTCTGAGCTGGGTTGTGCTTTGAGTAATAGAAAAGGAGAGAAGGACCTGGCTACTGATTTTTAAAGGGAAGGTAAGATAGGACCTTTTCTGTCCATTTTCCTCAATAAATAGCAAGTATTAAGGTTTGTGTGACTTTCTTATTGACATATACTTTTTTTCTGCCCTCAACATCTGTAGGAAGAAGATACTTACATTGATTTTTATACCAGAGCAGACGGGCCTAATTTATCAAAGGTGGCACCAGCAGGGTGCCAAACACAGGAGCAAAACTGGTGCTAGGGCAGAATGATGATGGTAGATCTGAAGGTGGTTGAGCATTTGGACCCTCAGATCAAAACTCTGTGGGAGACTAAGGAGCCTGTGACACAGAGCTCCAATCAAAGTAAGAAATCTGCACAGACAGACAGTCTGGATCCCAAGAGTTCTTGCTGGCATTTCCGGAACTTCCATTATCCCAAAAGAGCTGGACCCCGTGAAGCTGTCAGCCAGCTTCAGGAATTATGCCGTCTGTGGTTAAGACCAGAGATTCACTCAAAGGAGGAAATCTTGGAATTGCTGGTGCTAGAGCAGTTCCTGACCATTCTGCCCAGGGAGATGCAGGCCTGGATGCAGAAACACCATCCACAGAGCGTTGAGGAGGCCGTTGACTTGGTGGAACACTTACAAAGGGAATCTGGTCAAAGGAGGAATGGGGTGAGAAGGAAGATTTCTAACATGTATAGTGAAATAGGATGAGGGTGGATATAATAGGGATGGAGGAAGTTAATTGAGAAATGATGAATTAGTTCTACTGTATTGTGTTTTTAAGGCATTTACGTTGGGACTTGAAATCATAAGCACTCAGGAAAGGAAAAGTCCACTAGTTCCATAGATCACAGCAGGGATTTCCTTGACTTTACAGAAAAAATTGAATTTTGCTCTTTTTTGGAGCCATGATTAATGGGGTGATCTTGCCTGAGGAGACAGAACCTGAATTCTTAGAAACAAATAAAAGCCAATAAGGTGAGTGAGGGTAGATCCAAAATAGGGAGGATGCCTAGAGACCAAAGGAGAGCAAGGATAATAAAGGAGGAATTCAAACAACTAGGGGAAACTGCAAAGAGAAGAAAATAGAGAAGAGGGAAGCAAAAATTTGGAAAGAAGGAAAATCCCAACAGAGTAGCTACAAGAAGAAAGACATTGAGGGATAGTTGCTTCCCTACCTTAAGGGTCTCCATTACCCTTCCTTTGTGGCTTGTTCTTGGCTTTGCTGGTGAGTGAGAAAAAAGGGTATACCCTTGTCAGGTGCCAAACACCTGCTGACCTTAGACCTACTAGGGAAGTTTACAGGGCAGGACTTTTGGTATCAATCATCTGGGTGTAGGAGCCGTTCTTCCTCTCTCATTTTCTTTAATTTATTCACTTTCCCTATGAAAACCTCCCCTAATTATGGGGTAAATGTGGTTGACAGGAAAACTTTTATTATTTAATTCCTTAGTTTTTAGAGAAAATGAGAAGATAGGAAATCACCCAGGAAAGGATCTAAGGCAAAGGAAAAAGCCAGACCAAGTCAGTATAAGAATAGGTTCAGTGCCCAACCTTGGTAGTGGCCTGAGGTAGATTTGTATGCAAAGGTTGCTGTTTTGTTTCAAGCTTATAGTTTGGAGTATACATTTGTTGCACCTTCTGTTCCACTTCCCAACCAAAAGAAGTTCTGCAGTAACAAGGATGGGGATTATTTCTAGGTTGAAATCCATGAGCTGGGAAAGGAGCCAGTACTTTTGGGAGAAACAGCAGAGGCCCCAGGCTTAAAGGTGAAGCCAGCAGAGTCTCAATCAGAAGGCAAGTCTCAGGATGAAGAACTTTGGAATACATACCAGGGTATACAAGAACMTCTGAGCAGGAGTATTTGTAAAGAAACGGAGTCTGTATTTGAGAGTGGTAAGGAATTTCATGATAATTTCTTTCTGAGAAATGTGATAGTAATTTGTTAAGCCAAAATGTTGTGGTCATATTTTGGGTACCCAGTTCTGTTGATCTGTGAAAGCAGTCTTGATTAGCAGTTATGATGTCCCTTCAGACAGTGGCAAAGGTGGGGCTTGGCCTGGGGTGTAGAAACATTCAAACCACAAAACCCTGGCAATAACACCATGAACTCCATTCCTTAGAAAAGTGGAGAGAAGGAAAAGAAACAAAGCAGGAAGGTTTGGGGCCACTCATTCATAAAATTCAAAAAGAATTACAATCAGAAATGGACTTTTAGCCTCTGGGCACAGTGGCACACAACTGTAATCCACAGCTTGGGAGGCTGAGACAGGAGGATTGTGAGTTCAAAGCCAGCCTCAGCAAAGAGCCAGGCACTAAGCAGCTCAGTGAGACCCTGTCTCCAAATAAAATCAAAAAAGGGTCGGAATGTGGCTCAGTGGTCAAGTACCCCTGAGTTCAATACCTGGTACCAAAAGGGGGGGGGTGCTTTAAGCAAAAGCAAATGGGCTGTTAGTGGCAGAATGTGAAGACAATTGTGCACCAGGAAAAAAATAATAAAAGACAAGTTCATTTCTTGTATACAGGAGTCCCTGAGTGCTCATTTTGAAATATTTTTAATTATTGCCTAACTCAGAACAATTTATGCATGAACGGAAAATGAAAAGGGATTTTATTAATTTCTCATGACTAAGTTAACAGTCAACTGAGGAACTAGTTCTAAGAATTTGGTAGGTACTTGGTTTTTATTTATGAGAAGCCACTCTGTCACTACAGCACTTGTAAAGAGGATCTGTATTTCAGAAATGAACTCAAGAGGTTTATAGACAAGAGAAATTTCCTCTGGCTCTTTTTCCACCCACAGATGTACCTGCTCAGCAGAGTCTAGCCTTTTCTGAACAGAAAAATACCAAAGACTGGACATTGGCACCTGATCTTGTCTTGTCTGAATCCCAGGTGAGCTTTGGTTTTTAGCTGTTTAKAGTTGCCTTTTCCTGCTATCCATTATTCATACTATCCAAGTATGTTAGATCCAGTCTTTGTCACTTGGGGTACCTCTTAGGCTGTTTGCCAATCCTTTCACCCATTTCTGGCCCCTTCTTTTTATAATGCAGTCAGGTGTTGCATGATGATGGGGATACTTTCTAAGAAATGTGTCATTAAACAACTCTGTCATTGTGCAAACATCATAAATGGTGCTTACACATCCCTAGATCATGTAAGTCACTTATTCAGTGAGACCTGTTGATGCAGTCAAGAGACATGGTAAGTACAAGATGTATGAAGCTGCTGCTATCACCACATTGGGATACTGTTTTCTAGTAAACTTTTTTTTTCCCAGTATACCAGGAGTATACGCCTAACAATTAAAAATATGGTAAATACATAAATCAATAACTTAAAAAATAAATGTGTTTTTAAGTAATATGTACTATACATTACTGTGTGCTATACTTTTGTACAACTAGTAGCCCAGAAGGTTTATTTATACCAGAATCACTGCAAACACATAAGAAAGGCATTGTTCCATGATGTCATTAAGCAATAGAAAATTTCTAGCTTCATTATAATGTTACAGAATGACCTTCATATGTGTGGCCTATTGACCAAAACGTTCTTATGTGGCACATAACTGTAATCATGTACTGTTAATTCCTTCATAGCCTGGCCTACCGTACAGTTCTTATCTAGGTGTTTGGGCTGCTTCTGTAGTAATGTAAGTACTAAACTAAGTCCATTATTTTCCTTAGAGCTTGTTGACATTTGAAGAAGTAGCCATGTATTTTTCCCAGGAAGAATGGGAGTTATTGGATCCCACTCAGAAGGCTCTCTACAATGATGTAATGCAGGAAAACTATGAGACTGTCATCTCGCTAGGTAAAGACCTGACTCATTCTTGGCTTACTAAGAATGAAATCCCGTGAGATTTCTCAATAGCTGGTTGGTTCTCAACTAGATGGTGTCGGGAGGGAGAAGGTGTGTCCCTTACATGTGGGAGCTTTTCCCAAATGTACATGCAAATTTCTTATCATGCATAGAATTCTTGATCCATTTCCTTTCTTTTATCCCAAATCTGCTCTTACACATCTTTCCCATCTTGGCAAAGGATTATCTAGATGGTTCAAGCAAAAAAAAAAAAAAAACCCCAAATAGTTATCCTTTAATTTTGCCATCATATCCCATTAGTAACCCATAAGCAAGTTGTCTTAGCTCCACTTTATTATGTACTGACTTCACCTATGACTCAACCTCTTGAACTCTGTTAGCATCCTCATCTAAGGCAGCATCATCTCGAACCAGATAGCTTTCTAACTCTGTTGCCTTGCCTCTACTCTTGCCCTCCCACTATCTGTTTATCACACAGTGACCAGAGTGATCTTTTAAGAATTTCTTTGGATTATAACATTTTATTGCTTCAGAATTATGCAGTGATTTCTTAAAATTCAAAATAAGCTCATTATCCTTATCAGAGCACTCAGATTCTCCATGATCTGGCCTTGCCTCCTGCCACAAATTCCTTTGCTTAATCCTCTTTAGCCACATTGGTTTTCCTGTTGTTTCTTGATTTTGCATACTCATTTCTGCTTCCCTTTCTCCTCTGCTTGGCACACTTTTCTACCATGTTGTAAAATTCTCAACTTTTATGTTTCTGCTCAAGCAATACTTTGTCAAAGAATGCTTCCCAGAGTAGAATCATAAGACTGTTTTGTAATGTCTTCAGTGTTCTTCAAAACATTTATTGCTTCTTGACATTTTTTGGCTTGTTTTATTTACTCACTTGCTTTACTAGTAGAATATAAGCTTTCTAAAATCAGGACATTGAGCTTCTTTACCACTATAGCTCCAGCCCATAGAGCATCATATCCACTCAATAAATAAATAAATAAAAACAAGATATTAACTTATTTTTGGTACTGGGGATTGAACCCAGGACCTTGTGCTTGCAAAGCACATGCTATACCCTGGAGTTAAATCCACAGTTCCAATAAATATTTATTGAAAGAATGAATGATATATAGTTCTCATACTGGCCAAACTATTTAGAAAAGGTCTACCAAGTGCTCTTGGTCCATTTCTTCTACCTGAATGTAGAACTGTGAACTATAAGAGGGGTAGAAATCCATCCTCATCCATGGCCTGGTGCTAAATAAGTAAATCTAAAAAAACAGCTATAAGCATGACAGCAGTTACTTGTGGATATGATACTAACCTTACAGACTTTCATATTGGCTCCACTATACATGGTCTTATCCAGTATGAATTTTCTTAAGGAGTTATTAAGACCAGCCTGTATTTCTTGTAACCTCTGGAATTTGGTTCCCTTTTGGTTGAACAGAGTGTATTCTTGGTAACAGAAGAGGGAAAATGTACACTGGGTTTCTATTCCCTATATCCTTTTCATTGATCTACCTTGGGGTTTATTTCTTAGCCTCTGCTTGCACATCCATCCATGAATGCAGTATGATATAGTGTAAACATGATACTAGATCTGGGGTAACAAAGTGTAGAATTGTCCTTCTGTCTTCCTGAGTAGTCTGAAATTAGTAGATCAGTTCATTGTGAAGTTGAAGTCTTTGACCTCATTTTTCCCATTTTACAGCATTATTTGTGCTTCCCAAACCCAGAGTGATCTCCCGTCTAGAGCAAGGGGAAGAGCCATGGGTTCAAGGATCCTCAGAGTTCAAAGACTATCCCAGAGAGTCTCCTACAGGTAAATATACCATGGGAGGAGGAGACATGTACCTTGATGTGATCCTTTACATGGACTTAACATTCTAAGGTTCTGCTGGTCTGATTTTTTTTAACCCATGTTCATTTTGTTTGTTTTAATAAATCACCATTGAATTTTTCCTTCCTTGTGGTTCTGTTGTTCTAGGACACAGATGGCTTATTCTTATGTTTATTCCAGCAGGGTTAAAACAAAAAAAGGACACTGAAAATCATCAGCCTGTATCTCTTTCTGACTTGGAAATTCAAGCACCAAGAGATACAGTATCAAAAAAGGCCAAAGTGAAAGTTCCCCAGAAAACAATGGGCAAAGAAAATCATGGTGATACCCACAGAGTAGGGAAATGGCACCGAGATTTTCCAGTGAAGAAAAGAAAGAAACTTTCAACATGGAAACAAGAGCTGCTAAAACTTATGGACCTTCACAAGAAAGACCGTACAGGAGAAAAGCCTTTTAGATGCCAGGAATGTGGGAAAAACTTCAGAGTTAGCTCTGACCTTATTAAGCACCAAAGAATTCACACAGAAGAGAAGCCTTATAAGTGTCAACAGTGTGATAAGAGGTTTAGATGGAGTTCAGATCTTAATAAGCACTTAACAACACATCAAGGAATAAAACCATATAAGTGTTCATGGTGTGGGAAAAGCTTCAGTCAAAATACAAACCTTCACACACACCAAAGAACTCACACAGGAGAGAAGCCCTTTACATGTCACGAATGTGGGAAAAAATTCAGTCAGAACTCCCACCTCATTAAACACAGGAGAACCCACACAGGTGAACAGCCTTATACCTGTGGTATATGCAAGAGAAACTTCAGCAGACGGTCAAGCCTTCTTAGACACCAGAAACTCCACCAATGAAGGGAAGCTTGTCCAGTGTTCTTATTCTGAAGAAATTCACCAAATGGAGTTTGACACTGAAAAAATGCAAAATCATGAAGCATGAAGAATTTTTCCTAATCAGAAAATTTGGTATATATATCATGATTCATAGAAAGATTGACCCAGCCGTGGATACATTAGTAGTTCTACTTTTAACTGTCAGGGGATTCCTTAGCATAAGAGATGTTCTAAGAGCATCTGGATAAGGGAAAGGGCTCTTTTGGGATTGTACATGGAAAATAGCAATTTCAGCTTTAGATAGCAGATGCAGCCAGTTAGTAGTTCTCTGTGATGACAGAAGTAAATACAGATGGTTTTGCATTGATCTCTCCAGTCACTTCAACATAGTAGAAACATTTGTAAACATTTGTAGAAACATTATAGTCTTCCAAGATGAAAAACTGAACATTTATCTATATTTAATTGCAAACCATTGTCTTCAGGGTAACAGGCTTAACATTTTCAATGATCTTGTGGTGCAGAAATTAATTTGAATGGAAAGTTTTTTCCAGGAGCTAAATTAGATTTTTTTCCTTTCTCTTGTCATTAGACACTGTTCACTAGAGTGGACATCATTGGAGTTTCTTGAACWTTTTAGCAACTTAAGCTCTTGAATCCTTCCTGTTAGCACAAATTTTACTGTGATAAAACAATATTTACTTCACCACTAGGGAATCTGCCAGGTGGACTAATAATGCACTATTTATGCCTCTCATTGGTGGTGTTTGAAAAATGGAAAACATCTTTAATGAGAGCATATGAAAACGGGTTGGAATTTGTAGCCATAAATATATATTAGATGTAAGGATTTTCTGTGATAAAACTAGACTGTTTCCTTACCTCAAGATGTCAGGATAAAGCAGTCATAAAAGTTAGCACTTGTCCAAGGATGAAAGAAAGTTTAGGATCAACTTCTTACAGTTTTTGTTTACTTCTTAATTTGGCTTTTGTTTCTTAAGAACAAAAGAGTTAATGTTTGTATGAGAACTGGAATGTGTGTGTGCTATTTGAACATGTATTCGGCAGGAGTTTGGGTTCCTAAAAGGAAAGTTTGGTAACTGATGATCGGTGTTGGGCAAGTATAGGTAGATCTACATCCGTGTTGTTATGTCTTACACTGAAAGTTCTTAAGCAGGGTCCACCTGTCTGTTCTTTCCAGCACAGTATAGGTGATAAATTTGATGGATTGCTGTCAGTCTGCATAGCCTATGGATTTTCTTAAAACTGACAAAACAGTAACTCAGGTTTGTTCCTGGTATGGCTTTTAGGTATGTCAAGAAAGAGATTAAGAAATTATCTCTTCCAAGTCTCTCTTAAATGAGAAGTTGAGACTCAAAGAGATGGAGGGCCAGTATGGTTCATACCTGTAATCCCAGCTTCTTGGGAGGCCAAGGCAGGAAGATCACAAGTTCCAGGCCAGCCTGGGCAATAGGGAGGTGCTGTCTCAAAATTTAAAAAGGGCTGTGGATGTAGCTCAGTGTTAGAGTGCTTATCTGGCATAGATAAGGACCTGGGTTCAATCCCCAGTACCTCTCCCCCAAACACACATACACAGGCTTAAGAACTCATTGCTAGAGGGTCTGTGGACTATCACATAGCATCATCTATCATATATGAAGGCAGGATTAGTAGGACCAACTTATTACGTTATCCCCACACAGCCAGCCTGAATAATGTGTTATATTGAATTCTAGCTTGTAAAACACTTATGTTTCTTGGTTGGTTTGTGAAACACTCTTGTCTCCATTTTCTCTCTAAAATAGAGATATCATTCAATTCAGGGTTGTTTGGGGATTAGATGGATTGATGAAAGTACAGCACCTAAAACAAGGTCTTGCCCATAGAAACATGGTGAGTATATGTTCTTTCCCTTTCCCTTGCTTCCCAGTGGTAAGTTGGACTGGCCAGCTACATTAAGGAGGCAAATGGCATTTGTGGCAATTCCATTCAGAAATTGAGCACTTACAGTTATTAGGCTAAGATGACTTGATTCTTGGCTTTAGTGTTTTATTGTGTACATCCTGAGAACCACCTGAGCTATTGGTCAGGAGCTCTTGGCAGCGATTCTGTTTTATCTCTGAGGTCAGTTGCACCAAGTTTATTTTCTAAGCACAGCCAGCTCTGAGGCTGTGGTCTGCCTAGTCTTTCAGCCTTAGACCCTTGGGACTTGGACCATTGTCTCAGGACATACATGTATTTCTTACAGATACTGCAGTCACTCAGCTCTATTGTGTTCTGGACGCTGTCCTAGACTCTGAAGAGACAGCAAAGGAAAGAACACATACTTTCATGGAGATTGTATTCCAGTGAATTTAGGAGAAAGGAGGTAAAAAGAATGGTTTAGCTTTCTTGTTTCTTGCAGTAAGGTAGGATCATGAGAGATTTGGTCAGTGGGTCATGGGCAGAAGCCTCACTTCTGGGCTGACACATTTGTTTTCTGTGCAAGACTCTAGTACTCTCCTTTCCTGCCTTAATCATGGAAACACATATATGAGTAGAGTAGAGCCACAAAATCAAAGTCATCAGGAATATTGAGTCCCAGCTTAGAGGTCAGGTTTTCTGAAGCCCCCAGACCTGTAATGTACTTTGTGGGAATGAAAAATAAATTTCATGTTAAAGAATGGACATACTGGTGCCGTGTGTTTCTGCAGCATAACCTAGCCTGTTTAAGCAATTGCTTGGTGGGTACACTTGTAGAAATCAAGAAAATTTCCCTTTTCATTTCACCTGACTTTGGTCCTTTAAAGATCTAGGTTCTCTTATATGCTTGGCAGCTAATGCAATTCCAGTTGAAACAATTAGGCACTCAAGACTGTAGGTTATAGGGAAGAAAGAAATTGCTGTCTGAGACAGTGATATCAAGGGGAAATTAATGGTTCAAGTGGACAAGGCAACCCTTCCTTCCTCTCTAGCTTTATTCTGTTTTCCTCATTGTTTGTCTTCCTGTCCCCCACTCCTCCCCTGGCCCTCACCTGTAGGTAGTGTGTCTATTGATGTTTGGGTTGGGGAGGGAGTAGGGGTTACCTTCCTTTTTTTTAGAGAGATTTTTTTTTAAATATTTATTTTTTAGTTTTTGGTGGACACAACATCTTTATTTTTATGTGGTGCTGAGGATCGAACCCAGTGCCCCGCTCATGCCAGGTGAGTACGCTACCGCTTGAGCCACATCCCCAGCCACCTTCCATTCTTGATGGAATAGTATAATTTGGAAACTGCCTCTGTTATACTTATTGTCAGTTGTATACCTTAGAAAACAGAAGAGATATAGGGCAAAGCACATTTTCTCAGACTGGTGTAGAGAGGAAAGTGGCTGCTCTGAGCTAAGAGATGACAGTTGGGGAGAAACTTGAGCAGGAAATCAGGACAGTTGCAGTTCTCCAGTGAGAGGCTGCCAGTGGGAAAGTCCTGGCTTAGACTGTAGTGATCAACACAGTGTCTCACATTGTCTTAGGCTTGAAATTTGGGGTAGAATTTGGAAGAAAGGTTTTGTGAATCTTTGTTCAAATATGAAATATGAGAGACAACTGTAGCTTTAGCCTAAAGTTCTAATGAATATGTCCTTCAAAAGCAGCCAGATGATTTCCAGCACAAACCAGAATGGTGCATTATTTTCATTTGTTCAGATAGCAGTATTAACAAAGTTGTTTCTGAGAACTGTGTCATTTCTTAGTCTAGACTGCCTTCATCTTCCCCTGCTAGTCTAAGTGGCCAGTTGCTAGAATCAGCCCAGATGTAGAGTTCTTGCCATTGAGCAGACTTTGTCCAAAAACTTGAGCTCATCTTGAGAACTTTGTATCTTGTAACTACAAAGGAAGGGCAGGAGGACTTAGATCAAACCTCAAAATGAAAACTCCTAGGGTTTCTATCAGCTTTGGGCTGGGTTCCCTGTATAGTTTCTGAAGCRACCTGAAGTGGGAAGCCTTGAAGTTTTTCCCACGCTTGAAGATTTTCCTAGAAGATTTTCTAGTGTTCTTCCCAGTAGAGCTACACCCAAATTGTTGTAGTGTGGATCTGAAATATCCCCCAAAGGTGCATGTGTTAAAGGCTTGGTCCCCAGATTGGTGCTATTGGAAAATAGTGGAAGCTTTAAGAGGTGGAGCTTAATGGGAGGTGTTTAGGTYATTGGGGGAATGCCCTTGATGAGGATAGGACTCCATTTCCTTCCTCTTTTTTTTTTTTTGCTCCCTTGTCGGAGACCAGCTCCAACAGGGGGTCTCAGGAGACGAACGGATGGTGAGGAGTCTGCGAAAGGGGGGTGGAGAAACAACACAGACACCAAAGTGAAGGTGTTGATCCCAATCTTTACTTGTGAAGTT